AGCAGCCTTAGATAATATGTTGCTGAAGAGGTAGAACCATGCGTGTTTCAATAAAACTTTATTTACAAAAACAGGTGGCCACCTGGATTTGGAAGACATGTGAGTTTGCCCACTCTGATGCAAAAGCCAGGTCATCTCAGGCCAATCTGGGGCAGCTCTCAAGGGTCGTTCTGGCTCCAGAACCCTGTAGGGCCGGCTGAGCTGCAAGGCAGTATGACTTTCTCTGCCCACTCCTGCTCCTCCCCCTCCCTTGGAAGACCTGGTTCTAAGGGCAGCTCTTAGGCAACATCTTGCATACCTTCCCCATCTCTGAGTCTGCCTCCCAGGGAACCCACCCTGCACCCCACTGAATGTGGGCTAGTTTGTTACGCAGCGATAGATGACCAGAACACTCAGCAGCTTGACTGGGTCTGTTTACTTGGTTCAGCCGACGGAAATCAGGTATGCCTTTCTCCCCGCCTGGCCACCTCGTTCCCTATTCAGTCTTCCTGTCCTGAGTAACTCAACTCCAATCGTGCTTCCCGACCACAGAAGTGAGAACGGGGAACAACCCTGGAGCCTGCAGAGTGAAGGACCAGACTGCAAAGTGGCAGTGCCCTAATCAAGACCAAAAGAAATGAGGCAGGCATTGTCTCTGATTTTCTCCATCTACCCTCCTCGCAGGTCCCATTCAAATCCCATGCTGTTCACGATGAGGTCCACACCATCACTTGTGCTAGGAGCCAAATTCCAACTAGACATCAGGAGGGTCAGGACAGCCCCCATCTCAAAGTGCCTGGACCCATCACTGGTTTCCTGATGCCCTAGAGACTCTACTTATATTCTCATGGTCCTTCAAGCCAAGATGGGAAGGCAGATGTTTTAGCCATGAGTCTCCACTTGCAAAAATCTTTAGTCATCAATCAAAGCAACTGAAGCAAAGGCTGGGGATAGCGATAAGCATCATTTGTTAATTCACCTCCTGTTTGCCAACCACCCCACGCAAAATCTCAGAAGGCAGAAAGTGACTTGAAGATTTTTTTTCACATAGGAGCTTCCTCATACATGCTCAGAACCAGAACTCAAATGCTCACAATGCTGAGGTCATAGAGCAGAATAATGTTAACAAGGATATCAGTCAAAACCTCAAACTTCCACTCTTTGCTCCAAATTTTACATTTTG